AAAAAAAAAATTTCGGACTTTATTTTATCTTCATGGTGAAAACAGACATCAAAGTTTATAAAAAAAATACGATTTTTGTAAAAAAATTCATTTTTATATTTTTAACTTTATAATGCTATAACTTTTTGAAAGATGTATGGATCAATATAAATTTTTTTTTATAGATGCATGATGTCTTTACCTATCATTTGGTATAAACTTTTTTTATATCTGACCCTTTACCTGCCCACAGGGGGGGATTTAAACTGACAACTTTTTCAGAAAAAATTTACTTTTTCNTAAACTGACAACTTTTTCAGAAAAAATTTACTTTTTCTACTTAAATTTTGAAAGTGTTCCGGAAAGTCTGACACTTTTATATATATCTTAAATTAAAGCTAATGTAATATACTTTATAATGGTAAAAAAAAAATTCGGACTTTATTTTGCCTTCACTGTGAAAATGGCTACCGAATGCTATTATTTTGTGAAAATTCTCGATTTTATTTTTTACATTTTTAACTTTATAATGCTATGACATATTGAAAAGTGTATGGATCAACATTATTTTTTAATGAGAAATAATATTTTTTAATAATCCCTTTTTCATTCGACATACTTTATCTTAATTAAGATATTAATAATGAACTAGCAGATAATGTTGCTTTTGGAATAGTCCACCAATTTTTTAAAATAAAACACTATCTAAAGAATTGCATCGAAGCGTTTTTTTTTGATAGTGATTTTAATCACTGTCAGATATCATTATACTTGATCCATCTATACCACGTCACCACTGTGCCGCGACCCCCCTGTGCTGGGTTTTTTTATGCTTAATCGTATTAAAGAATTTTATAATATTGGTGTCAGTCATTGTCAGATATTGGAGTCCTTTTTTTTTTTTTTTTTGAGGTAAACAATTTTTTAGATATGGTAACTAAAAAAATTTAAACATAACTTTTTCTCCAACTTTTACACTTTAAGATTTCTTCGATTAGATAGAAATGACATAAAGAATACAATAAATTATACAACTTTGTAGTGTTTCAATTTAAATTTTTTATATCTAATTATAACGTTGATTAAATAATCATATTATTAGTTTTTTTTTTGTGACAAGAATACTTAATCACTTGTCGATTTAATTTTTTAAAGTATAATCTATTTAGTGATAGATTACAATTGATAGACGAAAAACTATTCTCAGTAACAGAAATATTTTTGAAAATATTATTTTAATAACTTCTACTAGGTGAGAATATATTATTAAAAAAGAAGTAGAACAATATTTTTATAGACAAATTATTTCTTTAAGAGTATTTAATCAAACTGGAAAATAATTTGAAATAATAAATATTTATTAGAAATTTATAATGGAATAATAATCATGTTTCACTTGGCTGATAGTCTCATGATATCAAAACTATCAACAATTCTTATTTTACTTATTAGCTAATTTAAAACTATTTTATAATAATGTAAAATAAACATTTATAATAAAATAAAATTTTATTATAAAATAATGTAAAAAGTATATTCTCATTTTTAAAGAATATTTTTAAGAACTTTCCTGAGAATATTCTCAAAAAATATTACAGTAAATTTACATAATTAAGTCTTTTAGATTTAAATGGATTAATTTATATTTTGAAATTTATTTAGTTTCTCTATACATTCTGTAGCTATATAAGATATTATTTATTTATTTAATTATATTAAAAAACAACACTTTGTGATTTTCAATTTAATCACACATTTTTGTCGATTTATATTTATTTTTAGAGGGACGGTGTGGCCGAGTCGGTAACAAGGCAGTGTTTGACGCGCATTGCCTCAGGTCTAAACTCGGTCACGGGCGGCTTCATTTGCCGAACAAGAGATCAGTTCGGTAATTGGAGTCGCTATCTTTCTCTCCGGCGACGGACTAACCACCCGTCCCGGAGTATAAACCTCCTTTTTTGAGGGGAGGCCGCGATGGCCCTTAATGGGCTAATAAAAGTGAAAAAAAGAAAGAAGAAAGATATTTATTTGTAAAGTGCATCCATCCAAATCCTGTTAAATATAAAATTAGATTTCAATTTATTTATAGTTAATAAAATTATAGAATATTGAATAGAATGTTGATTGAAAGTAAAGTATTTTAAAATTAATGCTTACGACGAATAAATAAAAATTAAAAGACTCTTTAGGTTATATTGTATTATAAGAAATAAACGGTGTAAAAATACATACGTAACATAATGCTTTTTATATAACTCATAATAATATAGATTAAAAGGTTACTGTTAAGAGAGTTATCTATGAAACTTTGCTACAAATTCTCTATCTACCTACTGATTTTTTGAAACATTTAGTAGTCTTTCACCGCAATGCAAAACTTTGTACAGACTGTCTATCTTATGTGATATAAGAGTTTTGAAGTTATTAGTGGACATCTTGGTATGTTTGTGTGATACACAAACCAAATTTCAAATTTTAATAAACGATATTTTTATTTTAATTATTGAAAAATGAAACGTAGTACATAAAATATATTTTAAAAATATTAATTATTGTGCATTTTTGAATCTTGAAATTTTTCAATCAACATTGATTATATAGTTTCTTTTTATGGAACAAACATTTGTATAATTAAATATGAGTCGTCATAAAAGCTCATATTCTCTTATTGCAACTCCATAATTGTATTTTACAAAATGTATTATTGTAAAAAGTTTTTTTTACTACTAGATAATTTAAAATCTCAAACACAGAGATTTAGCTTAATGCTGTATTCTTTAATTTTATGCAATATTTTCCTGTTATTAAAGAAATCATTTTTTTCATGATGAATTTTTTTATTACTTTTTCTTTTACTTTAACACGATTCAAAATTTAAATAATTTATAAAGTTTGTTTTAGTCATGCTATGTACATAAAAAATAAATATTCGTAATTGTTCTACTTAACAATCTATTAAGATTAGAAATTCAGTTTTAGCAGCATTCCTCACTTCTATAACAAAAATTGTTCCTATGTTATTGCATATATCAACGATAAATTTTCATAAAGTAGAATGTCTAAAAGTAGGCCAAATTAATTTTGAAAATGCTTTAAGTTTTTAATTATTAAGAAGTTATCTTAAAAAATTCTTGTTGGAGCAAATTGGTTAGCTAGATTTGAAATTAATAAAAAAATTTCACTTAACTATTGTGATTAACTAATCATTTTTATAGATTATAATTGTTAATCTAATAAAATTAGGTGGTCAATTACTGATTGGAGTCCTTGTTCAGTCAGTTGTGGGTTAGGCGTACAAACAAGAGAAATTGTTTGTAAGCAGCAAATAAGCTCTACTTTAGTTATGAGTGTAGCTGAAACCATTTGTTCTACACCTATTCCAACAAACGTTATTTTGTCAAAAGCATGTCAAAAACCATCTTGTGAAGTATCTCATGTAGATGGCACACCATATTGGAATACAAGTCCATGGTCAAAAGTATGTGTATTATTCTTTAACGACAAATATAATAGTTATAATTATTTTATTACAATGATGATACAATTACTTTAAAAAACATGAATATAGTTTGTAAGAGGGCTAAAATATTTACATACACTTTTGTAACGCCAACAAATCAAATATTTTTTTGGAAGTGTGTGACAAGGCAATAAGATAGAAGAGCTTTCCGTGAATTTTAATTCTAGAGATGAAATTGTGTATGAGTTTAAAACTCTTATAGATAATGTTTTCAAGTTACGTCCATCTTAAAGAGATTTAGATAAAGTTTTTTTTTATTTTAGTGTTCTGTTGCGTGCGGAATGGGTATTAAATCAAGATCTGTAAGATGTACATCTGAAGATGAAACAAAGTGCAAGCATAATGAAAAACCTGCACATCAAGCCACTTGTGATATGGGCCCATGCGCCTTAGCTTTAACTAATGCTGTTGGTTCTTGGATTATATCTGAATGGTCTCAGGTAATTTAAACTAAAATATCCATGCATATTATGACTATTGCCCAAAAGCCCATTAATATGAACTTTTGAAAATTATTAAGAAATAATAATTCCAATTTCAATATACCTTTAAAACATTATTTTTAGTGTTCAGAAACATGTGGTACAGGTACACAGTCGAGAAAAGTATATTGTTCTTTAGGGATTGATAGAGATAGTTCATGCGATCAGTCTTCTAAACCAGAAGAAACAAGAGCATGTTTGAGTGATAAAGATTGCAGTGGTGTGTGGTTTACAGGTCCATGGTCTCAGGTAAGTTCTAAAATAAATAGTAAAATACTATTTTTGTATGATTATTTTTTTAGTTTGCTCTTCATGTATAAGTCGGACCCTTTTAAAAATACATAATTTTTTTTATTAAAAATTAATCAATACCTTACTCATAATTATTTGAATAACAATATAATTCATTATAATATCATTTTTAGTGTTCAGAAAAATGTGGTTGGGGTAATCAAACGAGATCTACAGTTTGTATGTCATATAATCAGAAAGAATGGAAAATTGTTTCTGATAATCAATGTAACTATAAAGAAAAGCCATCGTTTTCTTTGTCATGCTTTACAGAAAATTGTGGGTCTATGTGGTTCACATCTGATTGGTTGCCAGTAAATTTCTACTTAAAAATTTTTCTGCTTTACAAATATATATAGTATATTTTTATACTTTAGTGTTCAAGAACTTGTGACTTGGGTGTTCAGAAAAGAGATGTAAAATGTCTTAACGAAATGCTAAAACTTTCAATAGATTGTGAAGAAACAAATAAACCACTAGCAAGACGTTCCTGTAATTTGAATTCATGTAACAGCAGTAACTCGGGTATATTGTACTAATTTAACTTTAATAATTATAAGAATATTTCTCTATTCTTAATTCAAATAATAATTCTCTTAATGAATTTTTTTTTTTTTAATTTTTTACTACAGAATTTACCTCTTCAAAATACTCTATTACGTTATTCAGGGTTTGTGATAAAAGAATTACTATATATTTATTTTATTATTATAACATTTTTTTTTTTGACAAACCAGTCAGAACTTTTTAAATAAATTAACTAAGTCACATTTTTAGCTTATAAATATAAATTGTTTAAATTTGATAAATTCATTGTACATGCATTTTTAATGATAATTCAACTTTTTGTTTTTTAGTACATAATATCTATGATGAAAGTCGCATTGAACGAGATAATAAACCTTTAAATATAAGCACGCCACCGTCAAATCTTGAAGGTATTTATTTAAAAATTAAATTTGCTTTATAAGAGGTAATAACAGATTATTAATGTATCTTTATATAAGAATTAGTACGTAAAAAATATCCAATTGTTTTGTATCATTTTTATATATTTTTTAAGGTTAAAAGTGGGAGAAAGTAACTTTTTTAATTTAGTTATTTCGACCAAAAAATCGTTTTTTTAATATCTTAGTCGGTCAGACAGTCTAAATGAACTTTCTTACGCCTCTGGTAGACGAGAGATAGAATGCCTAATTATTCGAAACCTTTTCAGTTTTTTATTGAAATTAAAAAGATATTACAAATAAATTTTAATATATATATTTATTTTTAAATTAGTTGATTCCAAGTGTGTTGACATGCAAATGAAAAACTGTAATTTCGTCGCGCAAGCCAGGTTATGCTCCTACAAATATTACAAAGTTTCTTGCTGCAACTCGTGCCGTAATAAAAGTTAAGACTAGTTTTTAGATTTTAAGAGTTAGATTAAATAATTCTTTATCTATTTAATTTTAAATTTGTTTAGATTAGAATATAGATGATAAATTAATCATTTTAACCACCATGTAAAATAATAACATGACTCGAATGTTTATACATTGTATTATTATTTTAAATAACTTTATTGCATTATTATAAGAATAATTATAATTATTATTGTGATAAATTGTTTTTAGTTATTGCTTAAATATCATGTTACTCACTAAGGTAAAACTGTAATTTACTCATTATTAATAGAATTATTTGTAAAAATAAAATGTATAAGTAGTATTTCATTTAAATTAATATTTCATTAATAAAAAAATACATAAAAAAAAAAAAATGCTAAAGTAATTTAATAAAAAATTTTATAATAAAATTCAAATTATTGAAATAAACATGGAATTTTCTTAAAGTTCAGCTTTATAAATATTTTTATTTAAATGCATGCTATATTTAATATAACATTTTTTTTAAAATTGTTAGTCTAGTTTTTTTTTGTACTTTCTCTTAAAAAAAATAATATTTAGGAAATTTTATGATTTAAGTTTTATAGCAGTTAATACTAAATATGAGAATTTTATTATAAATTAATTAGTTTAGATTTTTAAATATTTTCAATTGATTACTTGTTACACTTGATCTACAATCATAATTCAATTGCAAATAAGTGTGTTTTACATGAACAAAAAACTTTTTAATTCACAACTTTATTTTATTTATTTCATTGATATAATTTTAATTATAAATTATTATTATTCAAGAGTAATTTAATAACTATATTTTATACTTTTGAAATAATTAGTTATGAAGGACCTTATACTTATAAAAATAATAGCCTGTCAATTTTTTAACTTTTTTTTTTATTTTTAATTTAAATATTTAAATACAAATCATATAATAATAATTAAAACAATAATAGAATAAATATATATAAAAATAATAACTGCATGACCAAAATATAATTAAATTAAATGTATTTACTTGTTGTTCCTATTTATTTAATACGTACCTAGTTTTGTAATTTTTTTTTTGTATAAATAGTACCGTTGAATGGGGTGAATAGAAAAATACTTGATCTTTCAAAGATTGTATACTTAATATATTTTAATTTGTTTTGCGATTAAACCACAGGTGTATAATAAAAACTAAATGATTAAAAATATTTATTTTTAATTTAGTAAAAAAAAATCAATTAAATAATTGATTATTGATATTTGAGTTAAGTTACGTTAATAACAAATATGGTTAGCAACCACTTCGCTTATCTATAAATCTATAAAAAATTAGAATTAAATATTTAGGTCATGGATAACCTTACTTTGATTATGGCGAAGAATGTTACCTAAAACTATTGTACTACATACCACAACAACAAATTCAATTTGATCAGTTATTCTTTCTATTCACTCTATTCTACAATACTGATATTTAAATTGTAATTATAATTACTATTTTTATTTCTAGATAATTAATACATTGTAATTGTAGTAGTTGTCCCATTATAATGCATATTTTTAGTAATAAATAAAAGTATACTATATACATGCATAGTGATATGTATTTGAACCAGTTTATCGGAATTGTTATCGCCGCTCAGTGGTATCTTTTAACTTCGATGCAAATTGAGAAGGTATTAATTTTACTATGATGTGTTTTTATTTATTTATTTTTTTGTGTCTGTTACCACTTTTCTCAGCTCTTACTGAACCGATTTCTTTCAACAATACGTTAATAAAAGATTACAAATCGTATCTAATCGAAAACATTACCGTCAAAAATTGAAAAAATTTCCCTCGTTCCCCGTAAATGGGGGAAATCTACAAAAAAATTACAAATTTAAAAATTGCTAATTTTCGAAATTTTTTCAATATTTTTTACTTAAAACTGCCATAACTTTATCAAAAATGACCAAATCAATATAATTTTTTTTTATAGATGCATAATGTGATTACCTCTCATTAGGTATATTTTTTTTATAAATTTGACCCCTTACCTGCGCACAGGGGGATTCAAAATGACAAATTTTTCACAAAAAATAACTTTTTCAAAAATAACTTTTGAAAGTGTTGTGAAAACTCTGATTTTAACTCAAATACTTGTTTTAACTTAAAAACTCCTCAATACTGTACTGTAATACAGTACAGTATTAGCTTTTGAGTAGATAAGACGTCCCGCGTCTGTATGTTTTCATTTGTTTTTATTATATGAGTTTTGTTTATACAAATTAAAATGCCTCTTAATACCAAATCTGATACACCTATTAAAAAAGGCGCCTCATCATCATCATTCAATAATGATATTACATTAGTTGATTTGATGAAGAAGATAAAATCAATTGAAAGTTCTCAAATTGATAAGTTCCATTTAGTAAGTGACAAGCTAACTAGTTTTGAGTACAAAATTAGTGGTCTTAATAAATCAGTAAGTGAAATGATAAATTCCATAAATACTTTAAAAATAGAAAATGCTTATCTTAAGGAAGAAATTGGTGATTTCCGTACTATAGTATCAATTTTGGAAAATAAATGTTGACTGAAGCTCAAAATAGAATAAATAAAAAAGTAAAAATGTGATTCTTATTAATCATGTAGAATTGTTAAATGAAAGTTCGGTAACTTGCCTATCGGTTGCTAAAGATTTGTTAACTGTTCTAAATATTAATAGTCATATCATCCAAGCTAAGCGTATAGATAAGTCACGCCCTGCTGGTCGACCAATTCTTATTGAATTTAATAATTCTTTTGATGTGCAATTGTTATTGAAGCACAAATCTCGTTCGTTACGCTCGCTGGAAAAATGGAAAAATGTCTGGTTGAATCCTAATCTTATGCGTAGTCAACAGTTGCTTATGAAAAACTTGCGAGACGAATTATATCGTAGGCGTTCGAATGGTGATGTCATTTCATTTATTAAGTACGTCAAGGTATCCCGACCATCTGTTCAAAAAACTAACATACATTAATTCCAATATCCATGATAATAATTTTTTGTATTCAAGTTTTGGTGTAAATAGTGTTAATGTAAATAGTAATTTTCAGAAAATTTCTAAAATTAAAAAAAAAAATTTCAGTAAAAATAAAAATACATATTTTAATGGTTACTATCAAAACGTTAGAGGTCTACGGACTAAACTTAAAATGTTAAATACTAATGTGCCATTGTTCAAACATGATTATTTTGTGTTTGTCGAAACCTGATTGAGTCATAATATATCTGATGCTGAATTAGGTTTTGATGCATTCAATATATTTCGTGTTGATCGGTGTAAAAAAACCAGTGATTGTACTTGAGGTGGCGGTGTAGCTATTTGTGTAAATAAACGCTTTGAAGCTGTTTTATTAGATATACCATTGGACAGTGTAGAGCAACTATTTGTTATGATCAATTGGAGAAACAAGTTTAAAATAATTATTGGTGTTTATTATATCCCTCCTTCAAGTGGTCACTAAATAAATTTTCTCTAAATATGAATTTAGTATTATATGGTGATTACAATTTACCTAACGTGCGTTTTACAAGTAATAATATTGGTCTTATATGTAATGGTCATATGTTGTCTCAGCAAGCTGAAATAATTGTTGAAACGTTTTCATCACTTAATCTTTATCAACTTAATAATATATCAAACAAACGTGCTTCACAACTTGATTTAGTATTTTCCAATAATCAGTCATTAAATGTTTTACCTCTAGAAAATAGTATTGTTCCTATTGATAATTATCATCCAGTCCTTATTACAGAGTTTGTGTTAAATAACATAATTGAACAGACATATTCTAATTCATGGTATTATGATTTCAATAAAGTTAACTTTTATGAATTCTACGTTAGCTCAAGTTGATTGGTCAACCTTATATCTAGTAAGTGATGTAAACTTAGCTGTAAAAACTTTCTATGATATTTTGCGTGGAGTAATAGATACTTTAGAGTTCCTAAATCATTAATAAGGAAGTCAAATTTTCCCGTATGGTTTTCTAAAGAGTTGCGTATTTTGATCAATGAAAAGAATAAGTTACATAAACTGTATAAATCAACTAATGACTTATTGCATTATAATGAGTTCAAATTAATAGGGAAAAAATGCAAATTACTTTCGAAATCTTGTTAAGATAGCTACCTTGAAAAATTACAAATGTCATTAACTAGCAGTTCTAAATCTTTTTGGAAATTTGTAAAAAATAATACGAATATATTCCTAATAATGTTACTAATGGTGGTAATGTTTCTAGTAATAATATGTCCGATGTTGTAAATATATTTCAATCACATTTTGAGTCAGTTTACATTCCTTCTGGTGTTAATACAAAGCTTGTTCCATATTTTAGTTCTAATATTAGTTTTAACTACTGTGATTTTACGGTTATTCGAATATTTGAGTCTTTACGTGCTTTACCAAATGATACTAAGAGTAGTCCTAATCTAATCCCAAAAATAGTTTACCATAACTGTTGTTTCTTACTTACTCGCCCAATTCAATTTATATTTAACTTATTACTTTCTACTGGTACTTATCCGGATTTATGGAAAACTAGTATATCCCATTTTTAAATCATGTAATCGTTATGATGTAAAAAATTATCGTCCTATTTCTCGTTTAAGTGTACTTCAAAAATTATTTGAAAAAATTTTAGAACGTAAATTATCTGTTTTGTATAAAAATATATTTACAGATAGACAACTTGGCTTTTGTAAGCTAAATCTACCATGGCCAATTTTTTAGTGTATTATACAGATCTCGTCGAATTAGTTAGTAATGGTGCTCAGGTCGATGCAATATATACAGATCTTAAAAAGGCTTTTGATACTGTCGATGTGTGTATTCTTTAAAAAAAATTAGAACAATTTGGTTTAGGTGGTTCAATGTTAAATTGGATCCAATCGTATTTATCAGATAGAATACAGTTAGTTAAACTGGGCGATTCTAAATCTTCGCCTATTAACGTGTCTTTTGGTGTACCACAGGGGGGTTTGGTTGGGTTTTTTCATGATTGTAAATTTTTACTGTTTGCGGATGATCTAAAACTTATATGCCTATTCATTCAGACTTAGATTTTATTAATCTGGAAATTGACTTGGATAGATTTTTTGTATTGTGTTCGTTGAATGGTTTACACATTAATGATCAGACGTGCTCACAGATTTGTTTCACGAGACGTAAATCAACGCTATACTTTCAGTACAGAATAGACAGTACTAAGCTGACAAACTAAGCTTCACGTATGATTGGTTTTATTCGACGTAATTTTTCCGATTTCAGTAATGTAAATTGTCTCAAAGTTCTATATTTTCCTCGAGTTAATACGCGGGTGCCTTATACATTTTATACCTCATTATGCCCCACAAACTATAGTTTCTTTGCACCGATTGACAGAATGTTAAATTCAGGTAATTCATTGGGTAATTTTGATTTTTTTTCATGATAAACCAACCAGGCTACAAACTATTATAAATGCTAAATTAAAATATTGATTAACTACTTATGTTATTCAACAATTAATGTATTGTGTTATTAATAATTTGAGAATTTAAGCTTACATTTGTTAATTTAGTGTATTTCTTTTTTTTTTAATTGTACGTTTCGTATTATAGTTATTAGTACTGTATTTTACTCTTTTGGGTGTTTGTCTTTAATAAATAAATAAATAAATATAATAAGGAAATAGCAGATCATGTAGCTTTTGGAATAATCCACCAATTTTTAAAATAAAACACTATCTAAAGAATTGCATCGAAGCGTTTTTTATGATAGTGATTTTAATCACTGTCAAATATCATTATACTTGATCCAACTATGCCATGTCACCACTGTGCCGTGACCCCTTTGTGCTGAGTTTTTTAATACTTATGAATAAAGAAATTAATATCTGTAATATTTGATATACTCCCGAATTTTTATTTTAATATAGATTAAAAGTGGACAAACGTTACAAAATATTTTCAAAAATTGAGTTGAAAAAAAAATTTTCTAATGTGAGGGTGGTTTCTTTCAAATTTCTTGTACCTAGGTTTTTTATTAGATTTTCATAAAATGCATAATAAAAGAAAACTTATTGTCTCTAGTATGGTTTATTGAAAATTTCAATAGGATCATTATATATTAAAATAATTTTATAGCAGTCTTAAAATAAAGAAAAATATTTTGAAAATACTATTTTCTACACAAGTATAATTTTAAGATACTTTTTTAAAAGTTTTAAATGTGAGGAGTATTTTTACGCATAGATTAATAAAATCGATTTAATGAGAACTGAGAATTTTTATAAATAGCACAAAAAAATAACCGTTAGTATAGAAGCTAAACAAAAAGATTTTCCGTTGCATTATACCTCTCAGATTCAAAATATCGGTGATTTCTTTATTTCAATTATTACAAAAAATCTTATTTCAAAATTTTATATAGTTCTAGGGGAAAAAATGAGCTTTAAAATATCGATGTGTTAAAATTAAAATTTCTAGTATGGGTTTATCTATAAATTGTTACAAGTACAATTTTTTAGTAAATTTATTATTAAAATGGGTTTTATTTTTTAGATCATGATTTACTATGGTTTAAAAATTTAACAAATATCGTGTTTACATTTTATATTAATAAATTAATACTTGAAAAAAATGTGTCATTTAATTTCGTAAAACAACTATATTTTAACTTTTATTTATATTTATAGACCAAGAAAATTTAATAGCAAGTTTTAAAAACAAAAATATATATCTGAAAGATTTATTTTTGGTAGTCATATTCGATATTTAAGATCTATCTTATTTATATTGCGATAAAAATAAAGTATCCTTAAACATTACTTTGTTCCGCTCTTTGTCAAAGTCTTTAAATGATAATGTATCAAAATATCTTTTTAAATTCATTCCTGTATTCACCAATTAATTCATAATTTAATATGTATTTAAATAGTCCTTCTTTTAAATCTAAATAATAATAAGAATTTATAACGAGAAGTGTGGTATTCACATATAAAAAATGTTGACACGTGCGTTATTTTATGGGCAAATTATTTTGAAGTAATATTTTATTTAGTTGTTAGCATTGTCATAATAAATCGTTAAGTTGTGTGCTTATATGTATGAATAATACATTTAGGATATTATATTATTTTTGCTATTTAAATATTTTTTAAAACTATTGTACTTAAAAGGAAAAGAAAAACACAATACAGAAATTTAAAAACTTTTTTAGATATTTTTTATTTAATATTTAATAATTTCCTAATTAAATATAAAGGAATTTACGTAAAATATAGTTTAATGGACTAATGAACTTTAGTGTTTATAAAATAAAACAATGAAATAAAATTATTGAATATGTAACACATCTATTTCAAGATATTCCTAAAAAATTATTATTTAATAATATATCATTTGTATTTAATGAAACAACTTTATATATGTTTTATTGGGAATATTATTGTAAAATATTTTAGAAATTTCGAAGTTATATTTTTCAAATAACTTTTCAATATTTTTCAAATAAGTTTCTAGTTGCTCAAAACTGTTTTCAACCAAGAGTTTTAAACCTTTCATGTTTATATGATCATTTTGATATTTTACCGGCCAAAATGTTCCGTCATACAAATTATTATTAAAAGAGGACCGACCATCTGCTAAATTAAATAAATCAATTTTATTGCCTTTATTTTCACAATAATGAGGATTACTAAAAAAGAAATGTATTTTATTAAAATATTCATCATCATTTAAATGAAAAAAATCTATAAATCGTTTTACTAAACTTGTGATTGAGTTCCACAAATCATCCCAATACTGAATACTCTGCTTATTATTTTTAGACTCATAACCGAAATAGATTGAAATGAGTAATTTTATATGAACACAAAAAGATATTCTTATAGCCTCAAGTAAAGTTTCTCTATAAGTTATTAATTTTATATACTTTTTATCTTGATCAATCCATACATGCATAGCTTCATGATATCTTTTAATTAAAAGTTCGTCGTATTTCTTCCATTCAATAGCTTCACATTTTGTAAAAATTGTTCGTATAGACTCTTTATTCAAAATGATATCAAAGAAAAAAAGATTTTGTGGTGTATAAAAATGGGCTTTATCTTCTTCTATTTCTCCGAATTCTCTTTGAATAGCCTCATCAAGGCTATTCAATTTTGAGTCAATGTCATCAATCGATTCAATTGGCTGTTTTTTATCAACTGTTTTAGTACCCGAGAAAAATCCTAATAACCCTTTATTTTTTTTATCTTTTTTATCTTTTTTGAGGTAATTTTTCATTTGGTCTTTAATTAAACTGATAGCTTCAGAAATTCGAAATGCATTACTAGTCATTCTCCCTAGTTTTACGTATATTTCTAAATTTTCTAAAGGCTGATAAAGTTTATCAACTGAATTTGAAAGTATACTAAGCTCCCATAACCACCAAATATTGTTGTTGGATGGCAAACTTAATATTCGTGCGATTCGCTTACCGAAATCTTTGAAATGCGCTATGAACTTGTCATTGTTTTCTGTTATTTGGTTTTCATATATTTTCATCCAATTTTCAAATATTTCTAAAATATTTTGGATTTGTTCTACAATATCTTTTGGAATTTCAAGGTTGTCCGCAACGATCCCATATTTATACAGTACAATATTAAATAAAAAAATGAATCCTACCTTTGTTACTATGTTCATGGTCAAATAGATACTTAATTAAATTGATTTTTTTTATCGTTTTGGAATTTAGTTGCCAAATACAATATTGAATTGAATCTAAATACATTAATTATGTACTCTTTTATTTAATAAAATGTCAAACGGGCATTTTTTAGTTTATAAATTGTAACATAACAACTCTTAAATAAACATGATAAAATTTTGGCATCTTTTTCTTAAAATAAATGAAAAACATTTGCAAAAAAACAAAAAAATTATAATTTATTGTGTTGTTATTTTAACTTATGTTAAACTAAATCTAAATTAATAACCACACTGAAAAATAAAAATCATATATTTTTACTTTAGATTTAAATTAACCAAAGTATATAAATTTATTCTGAAATAGTGTAAATTAAAATATTTGTATTGTTTTTCGCCTAAATTGCATATTAAACATGAGTCCAATAAAGGAGATAAGTTTTTTTAGCTTCCCCTATTGTTAAGCGTTATGCCAGTAACAAATGTGGAAATGATATGATAATTTTATCAAAGTGTCTCAAAAAGTTATCCAACATCTCACCATTATTTTTTAAATGACTACTGTAGTGTCACTCTACAGCTTTATTGCCGTTTTTTCAGTTACAAGAAAATCCGTTGGACAGCGCTGCGTAGTAACTTTTATTCAGAAGATTATAATTTTATTTAATAAAACAAATAATAATGCTAGTAAACTTTTTTATGTTGCTATTGGATACACATCGGTTGAATGTGCTGTCATATAAAAATAAAACATATTAATTTACCACAAACTAATAACAAAAAAAAACCAATAAACAATTAAGCTACACAACCCAAGTAGTGAAGTTTGGTATAAACTACGCTGTCTTCGCTAACTTTCTATATATACAAACTTCATTATTCGTGGGCCTTATAATTGTAAATTAATTTTTGTAGTATTTTCTTACTAGATTGACTTTGTTTGTACGCGGCGCCAATGGGTTATTATTGCATTATTTAACCACTAACTGATTGAATGTATTATACTTATATTTTTCAACTATTTTCATAATTGTATTGACCTACTGTTGTGATGAATTGTGTATTTTAAGTCCGAGTTTCGATAACGCGGTTAAGTGTTGTTAGGAAGATTCAAAATAAGAACAATTATAATGCAACATTCACTGATCACCGAGAAGATGGTCAAGTCCCCTTTTATATTTACACTATTTATTAAATAAACATTAAATATTAATACTATAATACTTTCTACAAGTAAGGTATTTGACAGTATAATCTTACTTTCTAGTAATTATAATTTTACATATAAATTCCTTAAAACTTGACACGGCCACGGTGTCGTCACCCGTTTGACACCCCGCGGTCGTGTCAGCTCCTTCTCAGCCTCCGCTTCACTGTAAACCGGACCGTTAAACACACGCGTTATCGTCGTGGTGTAAAGTCCAACAAATGCCTATCGTCGAATACTCGCCGCAATAATATGTCGAGTCAGTCATCTTCGTGACACCCATATCATTGTTTCGCTTTACCATCCGCAAGGACCGTGCATTTTTCACTGCAGCTCCGAACATTTACACATACAGAGAACTATATATTTGTTTTTTTTTTATTTCGTCTTCAACCTGTGCCTGTGCTTATAATCGTGTACTAGAGATTGTCAATATACGGCTTGTCGCCTTCTAAACCCGAGAATTATAAGTGGTGTATTTATTTCTTTCTATCTTTTAATATATCTCACGCGAGTTGGTGCAACATCCCCAACAAACTAAAATTTACAAAACAATCATGGGTTCACGGCACTGTTACCAACTGTGATTAAAGATTGACATCAGATTTCCATTTTATAAGTTAGTTAATCTTCAACGGTGATCATAACCAGTGGCGTGCCCAGGGTGGGGGAGGTTAGAGGTCATATCCCTCCCCATTGCGTTTTTTTCTAGCATCGAGTACCTAACAGCAATAGTAGAATAAAGTTGTAATTATCACATTGTATATTTGTATAACAACATTACATCATGTCATACAAAACACAAAATATTAATAAATATTTTAATGAGGCTTGACCTCTAAAGCCTCCTTATTAATCTTTTTCTAATTCTTTCACCCCCATTGAATGTATTTAGTTGTATTAATACCTATTAGTTATGACATCCCTCCCCATTTAAAATTCCTGGGCACGCCACTGATCATAACCTTCTAGTTATCAACCGTGATCAAGATTACTGACTCTTCCCTTTATCCTTTTAATCTTTTTCAACGGTGCTCGTAACAATACGTTACCAACCGTGATCCAAAGGGTTATGCTTAACTCTTTATTTAATAATATTAGTTTTTAAAGTAAGACTGACGTGATAATTAATTATTAATTATCAGTGGCGGCTCGTGGGTGCTGGTGGTGGGGGTGCGACTTTTAATATAATACCGCTAGTTATAGGTATAAAAAATTGTCAAATTAAATATAATAAAATAAAACACAAAACACATATTATTATTTTAAAGGTCTCAGTAGGAAATAGCAATGAAAATAATAATAATAGTGATTATACTATTAGAGCAAACGATAACGACGAGCGAACACGTAGTTATATCCAAAAATAAATTACCCAATATAGTAATGTACTAATATTTTACTGTATGAACGACGCTGCCGGTCGTACAAAACCCAAAACGTACATAAAATTGCAACTTAATCGTATCCGCCGCACACGATGGGGGGGGGGGGCACCTCGATTATAATATAAGTTTCAAAAAGTTTGGACGACGCTGTCGGTCGTCCAAACACTGCTCGTGTGTTCATGTGTACTGCAAATACTGAGGGAAACGACTTTAATGTTCAGCACACAACAAATGTATTATAACTAATTTTCTATTTAAAAATTTGCATTTTTAATAAAAATTTAGGAATAAGAATATACAATTGATTTTCTTCTTTTAATTCATTTTAGTAAGGGGTGCGATCGTGCCGTCGTCCAAGCCACGAGCCGCAACTGCTCATTATAGATATTTTTTGTTTCTTTTTTAAATAATAAAGCTGATTATTTAAAGAAAACTGTGTTGTATTATCATATGATTATTAATTTAAAAATGAGTAATATAAACTTAAATATAGTACGTACGTAAAAACGTTTTACTACCAACATTATTCAATATGATAAACATTTCTGTTTTAATAACTCTTGGTGTTTAAATAAATTCTATAATAGAAATATTTAGAACTATATTCCGTACAGTTATATCCTATATTTTTTAAATAATTAGTAATAATATCAAAAGTTAGAGGTGATAGAAAATCTGATTGCAGATTTGAAATCAGCGTGAAAAATTGATCAAGAAAAGTATATTTTTGACTCTGATGAAAATATCTTGTATCCATTTATTCATAATTAACAACAAATTATTTTTTGAAAAGTTTTGTATCAAGCCATTGATTTTTTATACAACTTTTCTATAAGAGTATTAACTACTTTATAATTTTTTATAAGTTCTGCGTAAAAATTACAATACTAAATTATTAAAAATACAAATATTACAAATTTTTGTACTTAAAAGGTATTCAATAGAGAAACACAAAACAGAAATATAAAAATCTTTTTTAGGTATTTTTTATTTAATATTTAATAATTTATTAATTACATATACAGTCATTCATGTAAAAAGACAAATGAAATGAATTTTAGAGTTAATATAATACAAAAATCAAATGAAATTATTGAATATAATAAAAATTATTTCAAGATTATTCTAAAAACTATGATTATTATGTAATTAAATATTACCACTCAAGAAATTTGACTTTATTGGGAATAGTATTGTAAAATACATAAGCAATTTTTAGGTCAAATTTTTCAAATAAATTTTTAATATTATCCAAATAAGTTTGACACGGCACCGCCTTTTGCTCTAGGCTGGCGCTCACCCGTGTCTCTCTCGATATCAGCCGTCCAGCTATTAATATGACAATCGGTTGTCATCGGTCGTCACCCCGCCCTTGACACTGAGATAAGGCCGCCGCCGAATATGGATTACCGATATTGCGTTCTGTTCCGTTTTCGACGTACACCTCACCTGGTGTGTTGATTTTTCTTTTGTTGTTCGCGTTTCCGACGAATAATATATAACTGGTATATTTTGCCTGTGTTTTTCTTGTCTTTTCTTTCTAAAGCTATAACTGCATATTCATATATGTATATATGTGCATGTATATAGATATATACACATAGANATTCATATATGTATATATGTGCATGTATATAGATATATACACATAGACATATATTTATAGGGAATTGTGCGCCTATTATTAGTTAAAACAAACGCTTTAACTTCGTATACATAATTATATATATATATATATATATACATAAATCATTGTGCGCCCATTTTGGATTACGCATTAAGTTTTTAGTTTATTAAAAGTGTCATTTGCTGCGTCTTCTAAACCTTTCATGTGCGAAGCACTATTTTCTTCTTTATGAATAAATGATTGTAAATTAAAATTACCTAAGTTATAATAATCAGTATTTTTGAAAATCTTAGATATTTTATTGTAAATTGTCAATCTTACATCTCCATTTATAGCTAAATTAGGGTTAATAAAATAGTTATAAATTTGATTTAAACATTGATCATCACTAAAATGAAAATAATCTATAAAATCTTTTACTAATTTTGTGATAGATTTCCAGAGTTCATCCCAATATTTAATATTCTTCAAATTTAATTCAACAACAGACACATAACCAGTATAGATTGCCATTAGTAATTTTATATGAACACAAAAAGATATTTTTACAGCATCAATTAAAGCTTTTCTATAAATAATTAGATCTAAATACTTTTCATCTTTATCAACCCACACAAACATAGCTCGATGATATAATAGATTTAAATATTTATCGTAATTATTCCATTGAATAGCTGAACATTTTGTAAAAAGTGTCCTTATAGAATCATAATTCAAAATGATATCAAAGAAAAATAGATTTTGTGGTGTATAAAAATGGGCTTTATCTTCTTCTATTTCTCCGAATTCTCCTTGAATAACTTCATCAAGGCTATTCAATTTTGAGTCAATGTCATCAATCGATTCAATTGGCTGTTTATTATCAACTGTTTTAGTACATGACAAAAGTCCTAATAACCCTTTACCTTTTTTATCTTTTTTATCTCTTTTATCGTTTTTTAGGTAATTTTTCATTTGGTCTTTAATTAAACTGATAGCTTTAGAAATGCGAAATGCTTTATCACTCATTCTAATAATTTTATCATCTATGTCCAAATTTTCTAAAGGCTGATAAAGTTTATCAACTGAATTTGAAAGTATACTAAGCTCCCATAACCACCAAATATTGTTGTTGTATGGCAAACTTAATATTCGTGCGATTCGCTTACCGAAGTCTTTGAAATGCGCTATGAACTTGACAATGTTTACTGTTATTTGGTTTTCATATATTTTTATCCAATTTTCAAATATTTCTAAAATATTTTGGATTTGTTCTACAATATCTCTTGGAATTTCAAGAACATCCGCATTGATTCCATGTTTAAAGAGTACAATATTAAATAAAAAAAATAATCCTACCTTGTCTGCTATGTTCATGGTCAAATAAATATTACCTAATTAAATTGATTTTTTTATCGTTTTGAAATTTAGTTGTCAGATACACTATCGAAAGGAAACTCAATACGTTAATTATGTACTCTTCTACTTAATAAAATCTAAAACAGGCATTTTTGGTTTATAAAATGTAACAAATCGATTCTTAAATAAATATGTTAAAAATTTTGGCATCTTTTTCTAAAATTAAAACAATAAATAATTGTAAACACAAAAATAAATAATAGTTTATTTTGTTGTTATTTCAACTTATGTTAAATTAAATCTAAATTGAATAACCATTGAAAAACAAAAATCATATATTTTTAATTTAGATTTAAATTAACCAAAGTATATAGACATATACTGAAATAGTGATGATTAAAACATTTTTTATAATTTAAAATAACAAAATAAAAATGTATAAATGGTTGTTATTATAGAATGTATGGGTTCTATAGAGGTTGAGCAGTCCCAGGATTCAGAATAACGAAGACAAATAGATATATATTATACTAGATATATATATACTATATATTAATTAGCCCCTCTAGTATTATTTAAATTTTTTATGCAGGACTTGTTTAACGCAATAACCACTGGAGCAAACTATCGTAACTCAATAATTTAATTAAGGTGATTACTATGTGAGTTGAGTAAAAGAAGAGAGTTACTTTAGTTCGGGGTGTGATTGGAAGGTTATACAATCATATAAGTGTTAACTTTTGTTGATTTCAATCTTTTCTTCTCTGTTCTTAAAATAATTTCAGTAACAGTATTAATAATTGACAAATAAAGTAAGACGAGTTTGACTTTTACTTTACAAATAACACGTAAGAATTTTGGCAATGATGATCATAACATTACGTGATGATATTGAGATTGCGATTGGAACAGGTGAGACTGTGTCAGTTTCTCACTGAGAGAGGTTGATCGGTCTTTTATAGTTTTTTGTATGCCCGAACAATTATTACTTTTTTAAAAAATGTTGACTACAAACATATTTAATAAGATTAACACTCCTGTTTATATCATTAAATGGAAAATTTTATAAGAATATCAAAATATAAATATTGTATTTTTTTAGATTAGTATGCGATCAGGAACTTATATATAATTAATATAAACAATAAATTTATAGAAAAACTCAACATTTCGTTAACATTTTTTATTTATAATTAACAATAAATTAATTTTTGAAAAGTTTTGTATCGAGCCATTGATTGTACAAGTTTTCCATAAGAGTAATAACTACTTTATAATTTTTTATAAGTTCTGCGTAAAAATTACAATACTAAATGATTAAAAATACAATTTATAATATACTTAATATCTATAATAAATATTTATTCAATAATGAAGGATATAAGAATTCATTTTGTTTTGGTATAATCCATTAATTTCTTATTAATGTATGTATATTCGTATTTAAGTTTTGGATTATAGAAGTTTTGTATTTTTTTTTGTCATTTTCATCGTAATGTATCATTTTACTTTATTGAATCAATTTTTACTTTATAATGCTATAACTTTTCGAAAAATATATGGACCATTATAATTTTTTTAAGATAAGTACTATTTATATTCTTCTTTAATGCAACATACTTTTTTTTTAAATCGGACCATTTCCTTTTATATATTCATATATTACACTTATAAATCATAAAACTTATCAGTTATCAGAATATAAATAAGGAAATAGAAGATCATGTAGCCTTAGGAATAATCCTCCAATTTTTTAAAATTAAACATTTTTTGAAGATTTATATCGAAGCGTTTTTTTTTTTTTTGATAGTGATTTAAATCATAGTCTACTATCATCTATACTTATCCCAACTAGGTCACGTCCCAACTGTGCTGGGTTTATTCAGATGGCTTTCTATTGAATACATTTTTTACATAATTACTTATCAATCCTAATAATTACACATTACACTTACACCAATACAAAAACATAACATATACAAATTTTTCGTAATGTTAGCTAATCAGACTAGAAACATAATTTAATATTATTATTCAAGCTGAAAAAGTAAATTTGTATTTTATTTTCTTACTTTTCAATTTTTTTTTTCGGTGACGCACTTATTAGAGCAAGTCCCTTACATGGACTGTTATTTCTTGCTGATAGGATTGTAAGAATAAATAACAAATGTATTCTACACAATAAATAAAATTAATATTTTATAGAATATCATGTACTAATAGTAAATTTATAAAAGTTATCTATTGATAGATGATAGATATAGATTGATATACATTTTAATAATTAATACATTGATACTTAAGTCAATAGAAATAATATAAAACACAAATAAAATGATCAAAACTATGCTCCGGTGGCGGACTCGCCTCTCGGAGGAAACGACGAGAGGCGAGTGGACCAGGTCCCTCATAGGACTTGATCGGCTGGACAGGTGAGTGGATCGGACTCACGATGAGATGACATATCGTCTCACCCAAGTGATGTCCGGCCACGGCTGCTTTAACGAGTACTTACACCGTATTGGCAATGCAGCCGCACCGATGTGTGACCACAGTTCGGATCGCCCGGGAGAGGCTGACAACTCTTCCTGCAGCGGGGCTTGGGCCCAGGAGCGGGACTCCTGATAAATTTCGGGCTGATTCACAACGTGGTGTTGTGAATTATTAAGACGGCGTGGGCCGCCCTGAAGTAATGCTTCACGGCAGTTTCAGTGATTATGACAATCATGACGGCCGTCATAATTGCCGATTGTGTAAAAAAAAAAAAGTATTTGCGCATAAAAGATAAGTCGTCGGGATAATTTTTTTTTTTCGTTTTATAGTACATGACATAAGCTTTAATTTGATATATGTTTAAAGGACGCAGTATTTCCGGAACATTTTCAAAAGTTAAGTTGAAAAAGTAAGTGTTTGTAAAAAAGGTGCTATTTTAAATCCCCCCCAGTTAGCAGGTTAAATGTTAGATTTTCAAAAAAATTATATCAAATGAAAGGTAAAAATCTAAGGTTTTTATTATAAAAAAAAAGTTATGGTAGTTATGGTTATGGTAGAAAAAAAATGACGAAATTTATCGATTTTAAAAATTGTAATTTTTTTGGAAATTTCCCCCATTTATGGGGAACGAGGGAAACTTTTAAAATTATTAAAGGTAATGTCTTCAACCAGATACGATTTGTGTTCTTTTGACATATTGTTCATCAATATCGGTCTAGTGAGAGCTGAGAAAAAGTGGCAACAGACATAAAAGAACACATCATGGTAAAATTAATACCTTCTCAGTTTCACATCGAAGCTAAATCTTGACACGACTTACGTCGCAAAAATGTGGTCGACACTGGTTTTGAGGGTTGAGACCTGTGGGTCGTTTATTAAATGAGCGACAACAGGTTATTTTAACAAAAATAAAACAAACCGAAAAGATGAACACAATAATAACAATAATCTTCGCTTAATGTCACGGCACTTTCGCTGGCGTCGACGACTCGGTGTCCGTAGTCATCCTTGGACGACAAAAGGTTAGTAGCGTTGTAGGCGACAGTGCGCGTGTGCGATTCAGTTGGTCGACGTTGTCGCTTACACAACGAGAACAAGACTCTAGTATCATTAGCGACGGAACGTCGTCGGCCGTGTGGCAATTGCTATACTTTGCACCGTAGCGTATGGCACGCGGTGTTGGTCAGTCAAGTAATCATAAAATAGAGCGATGGCTGATAAAGGTGGCACGAGTCGCGGGGCATCGTGTATAACGAAGCGACGCGGGCCGTGTCAATCTAACGTATGTCTTTAATGTGTTAACAAAATTTACGAGGAAATCGTTTTACCCTATTCATGAACATTTTAAATTTCTAAATATATCACTGTATATATTTAAAGGCATTTTTTGATTTGACTAATCTTTATTAATTTTATTAATTAATTTTATACAAAAAAAGGGTATTTTTCTCCAAACCAATCGTAAATCAAAAATATATGAATGAGTTATTGAAATATTGGCGTATGTCACAGTAAACACAATACGCTAGAGCTTAATTAAGCACGAGAATTATCTTAAGGTAAAAATTTTATATGGGCAGGTTATGAAATTAGTATTATACTTTTTTAGAATCCAAAGAAGTGCAACTAATTATTATAAAATGTTATTAAATTAACGGGATTGTGGGAATGCCTATAAATATTCTCGAAATCCCGTTTTCGACATTCATTGTAAGTGTTATTTTTTTACACTTTCAATCTTAAACATATATCAGAAAACGAAAAATGTATGCAAAATATACGTTAATTTCATGACTATTTTTATAAGTATCATTTAAACAAAAAATCTATCAATTATATTCGTATGCTAAGCTTTGGCACCTAGTTAGAAATACCCGGTGATCAGCAGGCCTCACGATCCTGCAGCGCTTTGTACTCTTAAGGCTATTCTGACTGATTTCGGTTAGAGTATCCAATTACGCCGGCCATGAAATGTGTGGTGCAAAAAAAGTATTCTCCAGAAGCGGTTTCCCAGAAAAACAGTATTACTTGTAAATGATATAATAATTAAAATAATAATAATATAACTATACTAATATTCCTATACTGGCCTGGTAAAAATTTCAGATTTTAAATTGAAAAACGGTGACGACAATAAGCGGTATCGATAAAAAATGTTAAACGCTCACAGTGCGCTAGTAAAAATTTTCTCATCTTCGCAAATAATTTTCCTAGGATAAGGACGTCCAGCTGTTTCATTTAAAAAGAAAATTTTGATATTCGAACATCATTAGGTAATTTTTTTAGCATTATCTAATTTTTCAATGTTTCATTATATAATAAGATATTAAGTATATTTTAAGTACAATTGTTACGGATAAGAAATATACCAAAATTCACTTAAAAATGTTCGTTGAATATACATATAGTGTATACTGGGAATGGTTTATCGAATAAAAAAAACTTAAATTAGTGTATATTGTTTTTTTTATCAAATCATCATACTAAAATAATATTTCACATTTAAGTGTATTTTTATTTAAAGCGTAATTGTTTAACTACATATTATTGTAGTTTCAAAATTGTTTAATAATTTGGATTTAAAATAGAATTAGCTGTTTTAATAAAAAAATTTTATGATAGTT